CCAGACCCAGGGGCTGGGTGCCCGGGGGCCAGCAGATGCCAGCGCAATGCCTCCGTGCTGCAGCTGCCAGCACCCATGGGCAGCAGGTTTGGGGGTCACCCCTGTGTCTGCAGCCCCCTGGTGTGGCACAGCACTGGCGAGCAACCGGCCCTTCTCGGTGCCGTGGGAAGAGCTGCGTGCCCGTCCCTGTGGTGCAAGCACGGTCCCAAGGTCTGGTGGCCCAACATGTGAGGAGGGGAAGGACTGGAAGGAGAACTCAAGGAGAGCCGTGAAGTCCCCCCCTTGGAAAGTCCCTCCCATCCTGGACTCTCTGGGGCTCCCTGCCCTCTGCCAGACACAACCTACGCCCTCCCGGCAGCAAAACTCCTGGGAAGTTTCCATCCTGCCGCCCCCAGCTGAGGAGCTGGCAGCTCCGACGGCATTTCCTGCAGGGAAGTGCCGAGAGCCGCCCCAGCCAAAGAGGGTCCCTGGCCCCCATCCCTGCCCTCCCGTCCCTGTGCTGGGTGGTCCCTGCACGGGCGGCAAAACTTCAGCCCAATTTTTGGGGCTGTTTGGGCCCGGTTTCCGTGTGCTCAGGGCTTGGCTCGGTGTGATGGCACCCGTATTTCCATTTTATTGCAGCCCAGGCGGCCGTGAGAAGGATAGATGGGAAGGTTTCTGCCCACCACCTCCTCCCCGAGGTGCTCCAGACGTCCCCACTGTCCCCAAGCAGCCTTGGCTGGACGGTCCCAGGGGTGTCGAGGCCCCAGCATGGGCACATTTAACCCCCCGCAACCCCTCCCTCCCTCTGGCTGCTAGGCACCTATGCTGCCCAACCTGGGATTTGGGGATTTGGGTTTGGTTTTAGGGCTTGGTCCCTTCTCAGCCCACAGCCTGGGGCACAGCCTCCAGCCCCAGCTGAGCCATACCCCGGCTCATCCTGGCTGCCCCCAAGGCAGTCAGGGGCTCCTAAACTCCCCTGCAAAGCCAAGCCCTAAATCAGCTTCTGCTTTTTGCTGGGAAAAACAGGAACTGCTCATTCCCCCAAGTTGTGCGTTTCCTAAATAAGTCTGATTTCAGTTAAACCTCCCCCACCAGGGCTTTGCTTTAGGAGCAGCTTAAGCCAGTGGAGGGGCGGGCAGGTGGTCGGAGAAGCAGCAGAGTGGGAAGGACCTTGCCAGTCCCCCTGCTCTGGGCTGGACGGAGCCAGATGAGCGGATTCCTCCTCGCTCTGCCCATCAGCTTGGGCCGGCTGGGGTGCCCAGGGGGAAACACTTCCCCTCTCCAGCCGCTTTGGATGCAGATGCACGCTGGGCCAGCCTTGCTCACAGCTCCCTCCCTCCCTGCTCTCCCGCTGTCCCCTGGCAGCCGAGATTTATGAGTACAAATAGGAGCTAAAAGCCTGGTCTCACTGCGGACGGCACAGAGTCAGGGATTTTTTGTAGCCTGGCCCAGTGCTGCTTCATCCTCTGGGCATCATCACCCTCTGCCCTTTGCTGCAGACACCGTGGTCCTGCCCAGGGAAGCCTGCAAAAATACAGGCTGCCAGGATGCCGAGGCGAAGGAGGTCAGGGAAGCACCCACGGCGGGTGCAGCCCTTCCTGCGGCTGACGGCACGGGGCTTGCCGGGACGTCGGACCGATGGCCACCTGGGCGCTGTTGCATGGGGACGGCTTCGCAGGGCACAGCGCTGTTCTTCGCCTGGGCGATGCCCTGGGGCCAGGCACGTTGTTTTCCCCTCTGGGGCGAGGATAATTATTTAATGAGAGGTTTTGGTGCCTGGCAGGGGAGTACATGCCTGTGTGTGGTTAGGGCTGGGCTGGGAGAGCCTGGACTGGGATGGGAGTGGGGAGTGCCGTGCCCCACCGCCCTGGAGATGGGGATGGGTGGCTGGATCCCTGCTGGCTCTCCTGGCTCTGCTAGCTTTTGCTGGTGCCGGTGGATGCTGAGGAAGCTGGTGGCTGCCTGGCCAGCAGGTCCCGGCCCCAGGGCCAGCATTCGGAGCTGAGTCAGTGGGACGGTTCGTGCTGGTGAGCCTGCACGCTCAGTGTTCCTGCTGGGGGGGATGGAGATGTCAGCCTCGGTGCCTGGAGGGAAAACCTTCCCTGTGTCCCTGAAGCAGGGGATCGGTGCAGACCCCCGGGCAGGGGATGCCAGGCTACCAGGGCACGCTGGGCCCCCCTACTGCCAGGGGGGCACTCTGGCCGGCATTGGAGATGGGCTGGCTGAGCAAGCTGGGGGGCAGAGCACCCCACGGCGAGGCAGGGACCCTGTCCTGCAGCGGGACAGGGTGGGATCGCCACTGCCTGCGGCGCCATGACATGCTCTGCTGTCTCTCGGCACAGACCTGCGCCCGCTGGACATCCTCTCGGAGGTGGTCCCCGCTGGCCGGCTGGCCCGTGGCATGAGGGTGTTTCAAGTGCAGGGGGTACGGGGCTTCCAGCTCGCCGCCTCGCGGCCCCGCACCCTGGGCTTCCCTGCCTCCCGGCTCTTCATCCACTGCCACCGCTTCCCTGAGGAGTTCTCCATCATCGTCACGCTGAGGGTCCTCAGCGTCCCCGCCAAGGTGAGCGCTGCCGGCTGGGCACAGAGTGGGCACAGCCTGGGCATGGAGCGGGCACAGCCCAGCCCCGCAGCTTGCAGCAGGCAGGATTGAGCCCGTGCCCTCCCACAGAGGAACGAGTACCTCTTCACACTGATGGCGGAGGAGAGCCCCGGCGTGCTGGTGGGGCTGCGTTACGCCCCCGACAAGCTCCACTTCCCAAAGATGGGTAGGTTGGGGGTGGTGGGAGGCTTGGGAGGGCTGTGGGGGGGCATTGGTTCCCTGGCAGGGCCAACGCTCCTCCACCAGCATCTCCTCCCGCCACCAACAGACGCCATGAAATTGTCCCCTGCCTCTTCTCTGCCCGTCCACAGGGTGGTGGAGACGCCATTTCCAGCCTCTCTGTCAGTGGAGAGAGCCAGCTTCTACCTGGGCAACCGGAGGAGAAGGAAAGGCGTGTTCACGGTAGGTGGCCCACGGCACGGGGGCACTCGTGGCTGGTTGTGGGGCAAGCTGCAGCCCCCTGCCAGCCCCCGGGATCCTGCTGCCGGCCTCGATCCCCCTCCAGCGGGCAAGGGGCAGTGCTGGCACCAGGCACTTTGTCAGACAAATGTGGGGGTTTAAGAGGGCATTGGCAGCGGTGCAGTGGCAGGAAGACGGTTGGTGGCACAGCCTCCTTGCTACAAAAGTTAGGGCAGTGTCTGATCCTGACCGGTAGTGAAAAGCGGAGGCGGTGAAAGCCACCTGCAGCTAATGAGCCCCATGCCAACGCTCCCCTGGCACTAGCCGTTAAATCGCCCAGGGGATGGAGATTTTGGCTTGTAAGGAGGATCTGATAAATGTGTGTGAATCCCATGGAGGCTTCCAGGGCCCAGGAGGGAGGGCAATGAGCCCTCCAATGAGAGGGAAATCCAGGACATGCATCGCCCGCGGTTTCTATTTCTTGGTCTTGCCGGACTTGCTCCCCACCCCGCTGCTCCCCCTCTCCCAGGGCTTGCTGCGCCAGCTTGTCCTGCTGCCAGGAGCCGATGCCACCCCACGGATATGCACCGCCGTCAACTTTAAAGTAGCAACACTCTCCATCCCCACCGTCCTCCAGGATCTCCCCGTGAAGCCAGCGAGCAACGAGGTGCTAAAATACCCCTACGGTCAGTAATGCCCTGCGGCGGGGGCTTGGCTGGGTGCCTGCTGCTTTCCCTGAGGAAGGGTCCTGGTGTGGGGCTGGGCACGGAGTGGGAGCGGAGGGGAAGAGGGGGTCCCCAGCACCCTCTGTTTCTCAATGTGTGCATGGGGTGGGATCCCTCTCCAAAACCCCTGGAAAGTCGGGGTGCCTCTGCCTGGGTACCATGGCAGCGCTGGGCTCATGCTGGTAGCCCCACGGGTGCCAGCCTCCAGGGTTTTCTCAGCTGGTGGCATCCCGTCTCAGTGCTGGGATGCCATTTCCCCCATTTCCGTCACTGGGATGGGACAGGGACATCCAACCCCCACTGTGTGCGCGGGGACGAGCCTCGCTGCTCCTCCACCGCCTGCGCTAAGAGGCGCCCATCCTGCTCCTCCCCATGCCCAGAGACCGACACGAAGGTGACCCTGGGGTCCCGTCCACCCTGCACCAAGCACGAGAAAGCACAGTTTTGGTTCAACGCCTCCCGCCGAGGGCTCTACCTCTGCAATGGCAGCGCCTGGATTTCCATGCTGGAAGGTACTGGTGTGCAGTGCGCTCCTGGGGGCGGAGGGAGGCTCTCCCAGTGGAGGAGGAGCAGAGATTTGCCCTTGGCAGCACTTTGGGGTGGGAACCAAGTCAGGCAACAACGGAATGAGGGGGCCAGCATGTGTCCCTGCCTCCCCCCTGCCTGACTGAGCTTCGCTTTGCTCTTGGTGCCTGCGTCCATACTTCCAGTGCAGCTCTGGATTCAGGCGCCTCTGTGACCCAGCTTGCATGGTGCCTGCATTGTCCATCCACGTTGTCCATGCTGCCCATTCCTCCTGGGGCTTCTCTGGTCAGGAGCCAGCCTTCGGTCATGGGACAGCTCACCCCCCAGAGTGCTGGGGTGCTCCCTGCCGCGGGGTCTCAGCAGCGCAGGGCGCTCCCGGTGCCGAAGCACTTGCAGGGTGGATGAGAAGGAGCAGAAAGACCCATCGGCTGCCAGAGATACCCGAGGAAGTGAGGGGAGGGTGGTGGGGGCAGGTCCCCATGTTGTCCCAGCTCTGGCAGCCTTCGTACAGAAAATAGTGGGGCAACACTGGAGCGACGAGGTGGCGAAGCAAGCAGAGCCTGCAGGGGTGGGCGTTATTCGATAATGGGATGGATTTTGCCTGCTGGCGCTCTCCCACTTGCTCCAGGATCCCTGGTGAGGACGTGGAGGACAGGGCATGCCTGCGACCAAGCCGTCCTTCCCCCCTGTCCTGGGGTCTTTCTCAGGGTGCGTTCGGCTGAGCCGTCTGCTCCCCACAGGAGCGGGCAGCGGCTGGACTCACCATCCTTCCCTACCTCTGGAAGTCATCGTGATGAGCACTGTGCCCTTGTTTTCCCATGGAGACCTCGTGCTGGGATCTTGCTGACCTGTGCCGCCCACCCTGGGCCCTTCTCGCAGCCCTTCTGCTGCCATTTGTCCCTTCCAGTGCCCACCCATCTGCCACTGGGACCAGCCTTAGCCTTTCTGTTCTAATTCTGGGCATTAATCTTGCCTTAAGTCTTCTCTAACTTTGTCCCGAGCTTACGCTGGCTCCAGCCAGAGAAGGCGTCTGCTGCAGGCGGGTAGGGGCTGAGCCGGCTGCTCTCAGCAGCCCTGGCCCTTTTGCTGTTGGGCTCTTCCTCTCCTCCTCCTTCTCTTTAGGAAAAATATATCAACCTCTGTTGTAAGGAGCAACCAAAACCCGTGGCATGGATTTTCCCATAAAGGTCCATGCAGCAGCAAGTCCTGCCAAGCTAGCTCTGCTGCACACTGGGGGCACCTCTCCGGGCAGGGTCGCCTGGTTTTAATCTCACCCCTCTTTTTTTTTTGTGGTCTCCTAGTCAAGCAAAGGCTGGACTATGTGGAGGAGCACCAGAACCTGGCGACCAACTCTGAGACGATGGGCGTTGAGGTCTTCAACATCCCAAAGGTGGGACTGTTTGCAGCCACTGCCAACCGGCACAGCCCCCCGGGATCCGCCATCTATAAGTGGACAGACGGGAAGTTTGTGCCCTACCAGAACATCCCCACCTACCAAGCTCAGTCCTGGAAGTATTTCACCATAGGGAAGAAGGTAAGCCTGCCTGGGAGGTTATTCCAGGGCCTTTGTATTTCCGTATATTAAACTGCAATCATCCAACACTGGCTTCTCCTCTGAAGCCCTGAGTCTGGGTATGGTTTAGGGAGTGAATCTTCCTCTCCTCTGCCTTTGCTGGGGTCCCGCTGATGCACATAAGGGTCTGTTCTAGGGACTGTGAGGTCTGGGGGCTGCCCCCTATGTTTTACTGCTTTTGCCAAGGCACAGGTTTATCAACCCAGGCCATTTTCAGCAACCGATGCTCACAGCACAGGTAATTGCGCATCTGGAGTGCTCAGATCTCTTCCTCGGGGATTTCTGGGGTGTCCGTGAGGTCAGCCTCCAAAGCCGTCTGCCAGAGCTGCATCCCCCTCCCTGCACCGGGGTGAATTTCCAGCGGGCTCTGCCTCCTCCTGCCTCAGATGTCGCGAGTGCCAGTGTCAAAACGTCCTTTGTGCAGAGCTGCCGCCCGTCCCGGTCTGGGTGTGCTCATAGGGCAAAGCCTTGGTGCAAAACCCAACTCCCCCTGGGGAAGCAGCAGATCCACCTGGTACCCTGAGGCGAGGCGGGGGCCGCCCTGGTGGTGGTTTTGCTCTCGGATGCACGCAGCTTCTGACACGGGAGCGCAGAGAGCAAAGCCCTCCCTGAGCGCTGGCTGCGGCCAGCATCCTGCCAGGCACCAGCTCCGCTCCAGTCCCAGGGACCAGTACCTGCCATCTCAGTGAGCCATCGGAGCCTGTGACTCTCTCCCGAGGCCCCACTGAGTCCAACCTTCTGCATTTTTAAGGCCTCTTGCTTTTAAATCATTCCAGGACATTGGAGCCGTCTCTCCTTCCCTGGGCAATCTGCCATGGGACCTCTGGCTCCTCTCCCCAGGGAGCTGCTCATCGCTTTGCGAGGAGCCCCTGGCGAACCCCACACCCATCTGCTGGGAGCCAGCTCTGTGCAGAGCTCTCAGGGGAGCTGGTATCAGTCCTCTCCGGTGCGACCAGTGCCGGCTTCGTCACCAGATGCCATGCAGGGTGGCTGCGGGGTTCCGCCACTGCAGGCCACATGCTCCGGGGACGGGCAGAAGTCCGGCTTGGTGGCACTGACAGCCCTGCTGTTTGGGTACAAATGGGCCACATGCCCCAATCCCTGCCTGGCGGTGGGGTGTTGTAAGAAAACCTGGTTGAGCCCTGAAAAATGCAGCTGCGTTGCAAAGCTGGCTTGGGATTGGGAACGTGCCTGCCACCCCCAGCACTGTGCCTGCCCTACAAAGCCCCAGCTGCACCCTCGTGGGCAGGAAACGGGAACGTCCCCAGCTAGATTTATCCACTGATGGGAACCACCTTGAGACTCCCCAGTGCTAGTCTGGGCCCACAACCTCCCCGTGCAGCAGTGGCCGTGGGGGCAGAGAAGACCACCAGGCTGGGGGAGTCCCAACCTCCTGTGGTGCCTGCCCAGCGAAGCTCCTGTGTTGGTGCTCACCAAGGCTTACGTGCTCTGGGTTTGCCTTCAGGTCTTCCCTGAGGAAAACCTGGACTTACCAGGCAGGTTGGCCTCTCCTGCACAGCCTGGAGCATGATTTCTGGTTGGGGGTAGCCCTGGTGCTCTGGAACAGCCAGGGACAGCGGTGGGCGCCCTGCCTGCAGCTGCCCATGCTCCGCACATTTCATAGAATAGAATCATGAAATCGTTTAGGTTGGAAAAGCCCTTTAAGCTCATCAAGCCCAACTGCTCCCCTAACCCTGCCATCCCACCGCTAAACCCTGGCCCTAAGCACCTCATCTGTCTGGCTTTTAAATACCCCAGGGATGGGGACTCGAAGGAATTTTCGGGGGGGCGGCGGGGTTCGGCCACTGCAGGCCACATGCTCCGGGGACGGGCAGAAGTCCGGCTTGGTGGCACTGACAGCCCTGCTGTTTGGGTACAAATGGGCCACATGCCCCAATCCCTGCCTGGCGGTGGGGTGTTGTAAGAAAACCTGGTTGAGCCCTGAAAAATGCAGCTGCGTTGCAAAGCTGGCTTGGGATTGGGAACGTGCCTGCCACCCCCAGCACTGTGCCTGCCCTACAAAGCCCCAGCTGCACCCTCGTGGGCAGGAAACGGGAACGTCCCCAGCTAGATTTATCCACTGATGGGAACCACCTTGAGACTCCCCAGTGCTAGTCTGGGCCCACAACCTCCCCGTGCAGCAGTGGCCGTGGGGGCAGAGAAGACCACCAGGCTGGGGGAGTCCCAACCTCCTGTGGTGCCTGCCCAGCGAAGCTCCTGTGTTGGTGCTCACCAAGGCTTACGTGCTCTGGGTTTGCCTTCAGGTCTTCCCTGAGGAAAACCTGGACTTACCAGGCAGGTTGGCCTCTCCTGCACAGCCTGGAGCATGATTTCTGGTTGGGGGTAGCCCTGGTGCTCTGGAACAGCCAGGGACAGCGGTGGGCGCCCTGCCTGCAGCTGCCCATGCTCCGCACATTTCATAGAATAGAATCATGAAATCGTTTAGGTTGGAAAAGCCCTTTAAGCTCATCAAGCCCAACTGCTCCCCTAACCCTGCCATCCCACCGCTAAACCCTGGCCCTAAGCACCTCATCTGTCTGGCTTTTAAATACCCCAGGGATGGGGACTCGAAGGAATTTTTCCCAATGTCCAACCTAACCTTGCCCTGGTGTTTCTGTGCGGGGATGATGAGGTGTTGCAGCAGCAGTGGCACGGATCTCTCCGTACAGGTTCCTCGCACAGTGGGAACACACCTCTGTAAGGTGTCAGCGCCCTGTTACTGCAGCAGGAGCTGTCGATGCTCCTCCGGGATGGGGTGTAGAGGCCCACAGGGCAGTGACAGAGTCTCCTGGTGGCTCCTGGCAGTGAGGAGCAAGGGGCCCCCTTGCGGGGCTGGGTCCAGGCCTTTCCCTTCCTGTTTTTTGGTCCTGGAGATGCCCTGGCGGGACTGGGGCTCGGGGAATGCACCTTCCCCGGAGGGATGTGGATGCGGCCAAGGCCACCGCTGAGGGCAAAAGGTCTCCGTCCTTGGAGCCTTGGCTGGGCAAAGCCCCAGGCTGGTGCTGGCAGGGTCCTGTGCTGGGCAGGAGGCAGGAGACCAGCCCCACTATTTTCTGCTCGTAGGCTGCTTCCCTGTGTATCTCTGTGGCCCAAACTGGGGCGTAACCTCTGCCACTCCCTACAAAGGGGACACTTTGGGTGCATTGTGCTGCTTGGGGACCGCTCAGGGTCTTGTCCCACGACCGGCTGCGTCGGTCCCTGGCCCCGCATCCCATGGATGCCTGCCCCCCCCCCCCCCCCCCCCCGCCCCCCGCTGCGCGCCCCC